TAATGTGGAAGATAAGTCACATGGGCCCTTGTTGATGTGAAGCCGCACATGTCATCAATTTCAAGGCCATACAAATTCATCCCTTAATAACATTGAAGGGTAAGCTTTAAGTAGAGGATCCTAATCGGCAAGAGTTTTGTGCATTTGATGATGGTACCTTGTGGTTTGGTAGTAAACTTTGTGTTCCTAGAGTTCATGCTTTGAAACATGAGATTGGGGAAAAGGCACATAATACTAACCATATAGTTCACCCTTGTAACTCCAAGATGTATCATGATTTACATGATACATTTTGGTGGCATAATATGAAGACGAAAATTGCCAGATTTGTTTCTCAATGCTTGACTTGTTAGAAAGTTTCTCAATGCTTGACTTGTCAAAAAGTTAAGGCAAAGTGTCAAAGACAATCTAGGAAATTACAACCCTTACCTACTTTTGTATAGAAGTGGGAGAACATCACTATGGATTTTGTCACTGGATAACCTTTTACCCCTTGCAATAATGATGCTATTTGGATCACTGTTGATAGTTGACCAAATTTGCTCACTTTTTGCCATACTGTATTGGCACATCCATCAAGAGATTATGAGAAAATGTACATGAATGAGGTAGTTAGACTGCATGATGTTTTGGTGTTTATTGTTTTAGATAGACACTAAATCTCCCTCTCATTTCTAGACTAGTCTACAGAAGGCACTTGGTAGCTAGATGAACTTTAGCATTACCTTTCATCCTTAGACAAATGGACAATTTGAAAGGACGACACAAATTCTTGAGGACATGTTGAGAACATGTGTACTTGATTGTAAAGGTTCTTGGGATCAACATCTTGCTATGATTGAGTTTGCTTATAATAATAGTTATCAATCTAGCATTCATATGCCACCCTTCGAGGCTTCATATGGTAATTGTAGATTGCCTATATGTTGGATTGAGGTAAGTGAGAGGAGTATTTTAGGCCCTGAGTTGGTCTAGGAATCTTTCAAGGTGATACACTTGATTCGAGAACGTCTTCATATAGCTTAAAGTGTTAGAAAGCCATGTTGACTAGAGGAGATAAGATCTTAAATTTGAAATTGGTGACCATATTTTTCTTAAAGTTTCTCATACTAGAATTGACATGAGATTTGGCATATGAGAAAAGTTGAGTCTAGGTACATAGGACCATATACCATTCTTGATCGAATCAAAGATGTTACTTATAAGTTGGAGTTACCCCATAATCTAGCTGGTGTTCATGACATCATCCATATTTCCTTGTTATGGAAGTATGTCTTCGATCCTAGCCATGTCGTCAATCTTAAGCCTATCCAACTTTGAGATGATCTTTGTTATGATGAGTATCCAATTCGTATTTTAGACACCCAAGAATAGGTTTTGAGATAGAAGACTATTCACTATGTGAAGATTATCTAGAGTAATCACTCGATTAAAAAGGCTACTTAAGAGTTAGAATCTAAAATGCAACTAGAACATTCACACTTTTTTGACAATTTAGGTGAGTTAGAGAATTAAACTCCTTTTAGGAAGGGTGAATGTAATAACCTAAATAATTTTCTAGATTTCTCCACATCACTGTAATTAAGTGAGTTAAAATTTAATTATGAATGGACACAATTTCGAATTTAAGAGATTACAATTTATTTAAAATTCAAATATAATTAAATCAAATTAATATATGAATTTAATTTGGTATTTATGCCTTTTAATTTAGGATTATTACTTTCCCTTAATAAAAATATAAACAAATGTAAAGCCTGCAATTCAATCTCTCAAAATAGAATTGTTTTCATGTAGTAGCCACCTCTTCTCAAATCCAGTTACCATCATTTCATGTTATTCAATCCTCAGATTCTAAAGGTAAGTATATTTGATTCTTGTGCTTTCTTATTTCTTGTGTATTTCTATGGCTTATTATACTAAAACCCAATCTTGAAATCTCCAAATCTCTTGTTCCTCTTGTTATCAAGGCTTCATCTCAAATTTTACAATTGAATCTTGAATTTTGGTAAATTCTTCATATTACCCAATGATTATTGAATACATATATATTATGGGTAGAGAGGGCTGTTTATTTTTTATTATGGATACTATTCACAAAACCTTATTGGTTGAGTTGCTGTAGTAGATAATGAACACAAAAAGAGAACGATTGAAGGGTATATATATATATGTATGTATGTATATATATATAAAAGAAGGTATAAAATATAAAATAGATGAGTAGAAGCTGTTATGCAACAACACCGACGCACTGCGTGCGAGTGTTGCTGCATGATGATGCATGGTAGCAATGCTATCGTTTTGTTGGTTCAAGAGTTGGCAGTAGTGTCAACACCTCTGATTCTGGTAACAGATCAGGTGTTGACACCTGCTGGATTATAATGACAATAAGAATAACTAAAGGGTGGGGTCGATAGTGCAGCCATACAACACTAAGTTCGTGTGGTGCAGTAACATAGGTGTTGCATTGCAAGACCAGGTGTTAACACAACAGTGCCAACACCCTCAATTCTAATCACTAAACAGGTGTTGGTCATTGTAACTTTAAGATTTTATCTTGTAATTGTCTGCTATTTCTATTTGAGATAAGCAAATTAATGGTTATATCCTTAATTTTGAAATATAATTTTGAAGCATGATTTTAATAGTTGAGATAGTGGCAGGATTAAAAACTCATTTTTAATTAAGTACCATGATTAAATATTGTTTTATTTTGAGTTAGATATTTATTTTGTTAAGCATGCCTTTTTATGAAAATCACTTGACACATGCCACTAATATATGAGATATATGTGTTTCTTGAAATAAGCATGTTTACTTGATATACACTTACTAAGCTATTTTAGTCTCCAATATAGTCAGGTGTTACTTGTGCTCACTAGTGAGAGGTTTATAAATGCTAGCATATGTTGACATGTTATTTGTGGAATCAATTCATTTTAGTTATACTTGTTATTTATTAGTAGGATTATAAACTCGTAATCTTGTGCCTGTTAGTGGGAGGCTTATAAATTTTGACCATGACTTATAAATGAGACGTCTATTTCATTACCTATACTTATACTTGTTTACTTGATACTTGATTTATATCTATTGGCATGTTTAATTAAAAATAATTAAAAAGGAGAAATGAATATTCATTTACTGGGATTATATCTCATGTTTTTCCTTGTCCATCATTTTAGGTAACGATGCTAGAGACATTTGGGATTAAGGCGTGTGACGTTTTTTTATTGGATTCAATTTGGACTTAGTCAAGACTTGATTTAGTTTTTAGATTTATTATCAACCTTAGAAAGTTAGAGGACCTAGTTAGCAAATTTTGCATAATTTGACGTGGAAGTATATATTTGAATATTACTTGACTTTTAATAATGTTTGAGGTAGTTTCAAACTTTAATTATTAGTTTTGGCCTTGCATAATAAATTAATTTGGTTCTATGCTTTATGCACTTGTGGATCCCATTTACAAGTGTATGGCATCTGTTCCACTCCAACATTTGGGGCACAACAATAGCTGTTGGTAGTCATTCTTCATTTACCTCCCCAAATTCCATCTTCATGAGCCATACACACAATAAGCTTTTGGAGACCATTCTTGGACAACTTTTCCATTGAATTTATCTCTTTCTTTCTTTTTTTTTTTTTTGATTTTTTTTTTTTTTTTTTTTTTTTTTTTTTTTTGATTATCTACTTTCCATCTTAATTAAGGAACTTAAAGATATATATCTTGTAATGACCCAGTCCACCATTGAAAATCTTCTCTTTGACTCATCAAGCCTCATGATTTTAAAATGCATCAGTAAGGACTAATAGGTGTTAACTTATATACCCAGTATCTCTCTTGTGTTTTGTCAATGAGGGATTTGCCTAGGGGTGTCACAACCTAGCCATTTGGGACCTAATGTCCTCTTTAAGTTTTGTCCTACCAGTGTTCAAGAGATCATGTAGAGTAGCTTTGATACTATATGTAACAATCTAGCTCAATATTAATAATGTACTTTAGTTCATCGACTCTCACAATTTTAAATGCTTCAATAGAGGGTTAACAAGTGTTGATCTATATATCTAGCATCTCTCACATGCTTTATCGATATGAAATTTGGTTAAGGATGTCACATATCTTTCTCTCATTAACTTAAGAGAGATGAATATTATCTTCACTTGAGACATATTAGATAATTGAAAAAAATATATCATTGGACTTATTTGGCCACCAAAATTAAGCCTTTTCAAGATCCAGGAATGGAGTTTTTGGTCGTATATATATGTGTGTATAGAATTGAAATTTATTTACACATAAATTTTATATATCACATTTATATAAAATCTTAACCATTTGTCTTTTCATTTTCACTGATTGGAATTTATCACTTCTTATAATATTTATTAAAGATAATTATTTTTTGACAATTATTGGTATATACTTCAGTTCAACAAACTATATAACATACTTGTTAAAAAATCATTATTTATTTGTATGAAATTAAAAGTAGACAAACTTAAATATACAATTATGCACACAGAATGTAGGAACTAGTTGAATTAACTATATTTATATCATATTTTTAATGGTTGAACTAGAGGTATGTTAAAAAATGTGTTGAACCAAATATGTACCAATCATTTTCCAATTATTTTTCATGTAGAAAATCATGATAAATTTTAATCATTGAAAATGGAGAAATGAATAGTTAAGATTTTATTTAAATATAGTATATAAAGATAATATGTAAGTCCATCCTTATTCATATATATATAAGTAGGTATTCACTTTTACACCAAGTCTTATATACCACATTTACACAAAACTTTAACTATTTATCCCTTCACTTTCAGTGATGAAGATTTATTGACATTTATTAAAGATAATTAT